CTCAAGTGCAAGAAATGTTTCATGCACAACTAGCCAGTTCACAACTAGCCAGTTTAAAATAATTGTCTACCTGGAAGTAGTAGCACGCAGTTCTTGCCTCTTACTTTCTGGGTCATAACCCCACTGAGACATCTCATAAAGAGTTCGCATGTTATCTACGAACAAGCGAAAGGCCCATTCAAACTGGTCATCCGTCAGATGCGTACCCCACAAAAATGAGTACGTTAATTCCTCACTAAAAATCACAGTTATTGACTAACAACATATAAAAATTTCTTTTTTAAACATAAAACTGCAGGTTATAAGACGAAATTCTGAAATAACTATCAAAATCCACTATTTCCTTAAGACGTACCCGCTACTAGTTACATTTTTCGGGATTTCACATTTTATCAGATCGAACGCATGCATCATCTTACTAGCCTTTTTTACAAGTTTCTTTTTTGCATCAGCTGGAGCCATTTTCCAAGAGTCGCATAAATCTATAAAGAAATAATATTTCAATAAATCCAATTACAAATCTCAAAAATCCTCTAAAACTCCGTATTATTCTAAAATTAGAGCACAGCAAAGGTAAGACCACTTCACGATAAAATAAATTTTATAATTCATCAGCGATAGGTGTGATCTCTGAAAGCCATGGTAGGAACTATAAAACCCATTGAAAGCGCAACGTTTCCGCCTTATTTTATGTGTCAATGTTTGGTCACTTGCATTCTAAAAGCGGTGCTTACCACCAAACGAAAAGATCATTTGCAGTAGATAGGCTGGCGCCAAAACGGTTCCAAACACTTTAACCTACCGCTTTCAAAAAGATTCAGAACGGCAGAGGACCCAAATTACGCATTAGACCATTTAAAAAACCGCTAAAATTCCAGGAACTGTACCATGCCACAAACTGCAGTTAGTCAATGGCACAACAAAAACTCAAAATCACTGGTCTGGTCATCGAAGGAAGCAAAATAACGGCCTCTCGGGGAGCTCAAAGAACGGCGCTTACGCTTCAGTGCGAACAGCATCTCATTCTACACAAGACTACCACATTATCTCTTTATATATTATTCTCAGTGGCCGAATGCAGCTTCTCAGTCATACCAAACGCAAAGAAACTTACTACATACGACTGTACAATTTTATTATTCGGAAACTTTACATGGTCCAACAAGAAGAGCTAAACTTCATCCTTCTAAAGGCAATTAAAGAAATTTTTGAGTAAAGCTAAAAACAGGTAGGTTTTAAATATTTGGAGAACGGACAACACTAGTCTGCTATCATTCTACTACGACATCTATATATCACACAGTCATTAGGAGAAAAGGCAATAATCCAAAAATGGTTTCAAATATACAGTCTCTATAGATAACAACTGATTGTCATCGTAAAACGTAAATGACTATGCACAGTATAATTATACATGAGCAAAGAAAAGAACTGTAACAACTAGTAAATGTACAGCACCATTTGCAACACTTAACGCCACTACAGAATTCTTTTCGCCTAAAGTCTGGAGGCAACAATCAATAACACACTTTCAACAAGATCAGATAAATCTTTGTAGAATTTAAAGCAAAAATTATTCGGCAACTCTTCTAGATTAAGACAAAAAAGAAGCTTTATTGCCCTCTTACATAGCCACCTTTAGTTCTTTAGCGTAAGGGGATTCTGATGGCCTCTATACCGACAGAAACCAAAAAGTTTTTTTGATTTTAGAACAACACTGCAGTTAAAACGTAAAGCATAAATTTATGAATTCTCAAAATTGAAGTGAGTCCAAAAATATAAACAAGATTAAAAGTGGCTAAATACGACAAAGTTGCAATGACGCATCAGCAATTACGTCCAATATCCGGTTTTGATAAAGCTCATCTTCACTAGAACGCTTAACCGTTTGTAAAATCTATCATAAATCTGAAAGAAGCCGCTCTTAATATCATTAATTAGATTAAAAAAATACCAAAAGAAACTGTGACAGGAGACACGCATATAAAAACAGTCTCCCAAATAACTAAACCTTATTTTTTATTTTATTAAAGGCCCTTATTTAATAATAAAAAATGGAAGTCAATGTTGATTTTAACTTTCCGTGAAGGATCATCATTTAAAAAACAAGACATAATGGTAAAATAGAAAAACCAACTCAAAGCAAGCCACCTTAAACTCTGAAACTCTCGCCACAACCACAAGTACCCTTAACATTCGGATTGCGAAACACAAATTCTGAAGATAGTCTAGACTCTACAAAATCCATTTCACTGCCTAAAAGAGAAAGCTGTGCCTTTGAATCGATCCACACCCGAACACCGTCCTAAAAAAACAGAACAAAAAAAGTCGAATTCACTGTTCTTCTTTGCCGGCAAATGAAAAGTTAAGAAAGTTAAGAAAAGAAAATACAAACATATAAAGAAAGCTAGACTCGTTAATGAAAAACAGGCAGTAACAAACGGAACATCAACCCCTACTGTTTGCAATTAAATCATTAACATTCCAGTGTATGAAAGACTCACTTTTAAACATACCTGTAAAACTTCTTCGTCAAGTCTACCCTTTTCTTTCGCATAATCAAGTGTGTACGTCAGTCCATTGCAACCTCGTTGCTTCACACCTATCTAATCAAAAAAAATTTTGAGTTTTTAACTCCTCATAAAGCAGAAACGGCTGCAAACAAAACCCTCAAAGAGATGCAATTTTCATCCATCTAAGCTACCTTTAAAAAATATAAAAATGTAGCCCTCTCACATGACAAAGTAAAAACCGTTATACTCCGTCACTACAAGGAACGGACTTTTCAAACTATCACAGGCGCTACACCACGGGGGAACTCATGTCAAAACTTCTTTTTCAAAAATGCTATTTTTTTGACGACAAAAGTAATCCTACTAAAGTCAAAATTCTTATATTCGGAACCAGGCACAAATACGGCGTAAAAAAGAAAAAAATATCTCAACTTTAAAGTTTATAACATTTTTAAGCCTAGAAAAACAGAGTCGAGTCAAAAACCGATGTCTAAACTGCGTTTCAGGAGCTGATAAAAAACTCACAGTTTCCTCGCAGTTATTTCATAATCCTTCTTTCCAACAACTACATAGAAAATAACACAGAGAGCCAAAATGTAGAGCAAAAACAAATATGCTCCTCTGTCTCAAACAACCAGCTTAACACTCTTTCTGTCAAGCGGCAATTTTCAAAAGCCAAAAAAACTAAATAAATTACTCCATTTTTGAAAAGTAATTATATATGCTTGAGATATTCAAGAAACCTTCACACCAACAAAGTAAGCAAATTTACCCACTAAAAAAAAAACAGAGTTCTTTATCTGTCTCCCAGAACTGAAACTTGCACTTTCATACAACAAGGAGTGAACTAATCAAGAAGCTACTTGAACGCAATAAATTTAGCATAAACTTCACAAGAAACTTAATGTCAAAACACTCAAGATTTAGAAGAGCTGAGACCTGGATTGTTTAAAATGCTAAAGAACTTTTTCGTAGATAAGATCTTGATAACTTGAATGCTAGCTTAAACTGATATAGAGTGACCAAAATTGCTTGCCAAAATTATCAAACATCGAAGATAAGCACAATACAATAAACAACTACTACAGTTCCCTACAAACAAATTGAAAGATTTATCGAACTGTTAAAAGAACCTTCAGAGCTCTCATATCTGGCTGAAGCTGGAGCAGTTTTTTAATTCTATTCACTGCTGATGGAGTCAGCGTTAAAGCAGCCTTTGTTGGAGATCTTCGTCCCAAAAGTTTCATTACACGAGCAGCGGAACCAGCCCGGGATGCCATTCGAACGCAGTAAAGTATAAACAATCCCGCGATGGAGCTAAATAGTTATTTATTAAAACCTTGTTGAAACAATAAGTATAAACCTTCGTAAACGAATATCACAGACAACCGCAATAAATAAAGCAAACGCTCAAGCGTGAACTTCTTCTCTTAAACCGTTAGAGGGCTATAATCACACCAAAATGTAAACAAATGACAAAATTATTAGACTGTAATAATGCAGGAAAAAACAGAAAAATAACAAAATCTCAACAAACACTCAACAGTATTACGTTCGATCCAAGAACCATACGAAAAGTAAAGAGAGGGAAAGATTATCTGTCAGTTGAAAGAAAAATAAAACCTCATTTTTCACAAGAACTCGTCAATTCAAACTCTATAGGCAATCTTTGTCCTCTTAATTGCAAGCAAACTCACTTCACCTGTTAAAACAACTGACAATTAATCATGTTTACAAGCTGTAGAGCATCCACCAACAAAAGTTTCTTAGGCGTCTTCATAAGAAAAGTCGTTAAATCAATTCTTATCTGGAGCAAAAACAGATAAAAGGCAAGTTACACATAATTAGTATGTCTCACACCAAAAGTCGTTTTAACAAAGTAAGAAAAAAATCACATTCGTTGCACCAAGAACTTTGACAACAGCGTTGCTGATTCACCGTACCCATCAAATACTACATTGCAGGTACCATTCAACCCAACTGATGTAATCGTAGCCTCGTAAAGCTAGAATTAGCCGCATTTGCATTAAAATAATTGTTCAGAAACAGATATAATTAACTGACTTCTTCTTGTGTAACTTATATTACTGCATTGATTTTTCCGCCTATTCGTTTTCGTTATAAGATTTATCATGACCTATGAGTCCCATGTCAAGTTGAACATGCTTCCTCATAGTATCTTTCCAAAACAAAGTAAAAACGAATAAAAGCAGAGTAAAAAGTATAAGAAATTCTTCTGGTGCCAACCAATCAATTTACAAAAGCCGGGGAAAACTTCAGGAGTATATAATAAAGTTTTCACAGTTCCTCAAACTTCATAAAACACCTTTTAGTCGGAATACCAAACCCCAAAATTTCATAAAAGTGATGATTTATTTGATGTTACTTTAAAAAATTATAAGCAAATGACTCCTGAAGTCTCCAGAGTAAAAGAAAAAAAAAATAATCAAACACTTCGGTCATTCAGCAGAAAATAAATTCAATTAATGAAACTCTGTAAAACCATAATTAATAAAATTGAAGAACTATCTTACTCTCCCATCACTCCATGGCGCAAGACATTTGTCACCCTTTTTCCAAGAATTAGTGTAATGTTGAGGGTTTTGAGACCAAAAGCTGAAACTGCCTTGTCCAAGTCCCGGCTCATTTCTTCCAAAACGTTTTTCACTAAACTGTCCGAAATTTTTTTCTCTGTTATTCCTTATTGATGTTCCTGATTTTCTGGCAGGATCGATATTAAGACACTTTAAATCTGCAAACCATCAAATAAGAAACTACCTTACTCTATTTGAATGTTAAAAATTAACCTTTAAAAACTAAAAAAAATAAAAAAAATACTAGCTGGTACCAAATTCTATTAAATAAAGTTCCAGCACTAAGAACAGACCTTTATGAAGATTACTCTCAGAACTCGGACACGGTTTCTGGCTGTCTTGCGCTGCTTTACTGTACCCTGAAAAAGAAAACACTACTTTTTAAAAATAACTTCACCAATTCTCAAACTTAAGTGAAAATTTCAATTTTGCTTTTTTAAAAACTAGCAACATCCCAATAAAGATTCCTCTTTGAAATTTGTATATTTAATTGCTGGAAAGAAAATAAGTAACCTTAGGGTTATAAAAGGATTATAAAACTCAACATATCTGACTTCTGTTAAAGGTATCCCTAATAACTGCCTAACCATACCTATCGCAATTCAGACCCGCACTATTTCTTTTATGTAGAATTTTTTCATTTCATAGTTTTGCAGAATTACAATCGAGGAGACTACTAAAGGTAACCTTTTGCACACCATGATTTGAAGATTTTTTATTTCAATAGTATGGTCCAAGACTTCCAAGCTGCTATCTCTCGGTATCAGGTAGGCCTAGAGAACAAGACTAAGTGAATCTCCTTTAATCCAAATTTATTTTTCACTTACATGATCGTTGAGTTTCTCAACTTATGAACGTAAAAAACTGATGCTCCTTTCATACTACTTCTCACAGTTCTATTCTTTTATCCTCTTCCCACCTCTACTTAGATTTTCTATCAGAGAACAATTTTCATTTCAGAACCTACACTAGTACCAAAGATGTCAGCTAACCTCTTTAAAAGCATGGTGTGAGCTTATACTGCGGCTCCTAAAACAGCTTCTTAATCTCTTTGAAAGCAAAAAAATTTGCTTCGGTGTGGTATAAAAAAGTTATGAAAATTAGTGTTGAAAAAAACCGAATTTTTAAAGCTGATATTTTAAAAAGCAAACATTATATATAGGTAAGTTTTATAAAGTTGTTGGTAGGTGACTTATTCAAAGTTTACTGCTGGGTCCCTCGAGTATTTGATAATAAAAAAAATATTACATTCGTTTTTTTAACCTTTTACGAGAACTATCAAACAGTAAGAAAACTATGACTTTCTTTACTGCAACTATAATCAAGAAGTTAGAATATAAGAACAATTCTGAAATTTTCATTCGCAAAAAATGACCTTAACGTGTAACCACAATGGTCTCTGTTTACTGTTACAAAACACTATAAACTCAGAAGCGTGTTTAGTTCTACTGCCTTAATTATGCTTGATATGAGAACCAACAGAAAAAAGCGGATTTTCCGATCTTAGTCTAATCAAAGGCACAATTTTATGAGCAAAAAGAAATTTACCTTTACTCTGGTTGTAGGCATGCGACTTCGACACGTTAGCAGTTCCACCGCTCACACCAGCAGTCTTTAGCTGAAGGCACCTTTTACAGCAGTTTAATGAGCTATCGAAGAAAGTTTTATTAAATTTACCGTCCGACGGGGAGTAATTAGAGGAGCCGGTCGTGTGTTTGAGATACCATTCGCATCAGATGACGGTTCAATTTGAAGAAAATCTGATAACAAAAGTGGCCCAGATGACCGTTGAATTTCTTCCGCACCAAACGAATTTCCTTCTCCTCTTTTCTTTCCCTAAACAGGTGAAGAACTGACATTTCGAGCGAAATAAAAAAAAACGCTGCAGTATGAAAAATTTTTTTACTTAATCAAATAACTTCAAGAATCACTTTGATATTGCTCGTCATCCGCTCCTTCTTCAGTTTAGCTTCTCTGACTTCTGTGCTTCTACTAGGGATCTGTTGTTTTAGCTGAAAATTAGAAGATAAGCTGACAAAATATTGAAGATTAGATGTAATTACGTGCAATTATGAGAGTTGCCACAAACCTTGCTAGGAGCGAAAGCTTTATCCGCAACATTGCTAACAGCTTGTTCAATATTCGCATTGCGAGATGCCATGAATTCTTTATCATTTTCAGTGCGAGGTTTACTGCTAATATTTTTGATCACATCGTTTACGCTGAAGTCCTTCTTCAAAACGTTGTCACGAGAGACCTACAGAAGAAATTAAATTGACAAAGCGAGAATAACTTCCATTGTAAAAAGTGTGAAATAAATTCAGTAAAACCTGATTTGAAAAATGTATCCACTTAGGAGCCGAAGTAGGTTTGCGAGTTGCAGAATGGCTCTGCCCCTAAAGATACGGCTATTAATTGTTTACAAAAGAAAAAATCATTTTCCCAAGATTATCCTAAGCATTCTTCGTCTGTGGAATTCAAAACAAAGGAAACAATCCAAAATTTTTTCTCTACTGATGATGTTGAAGTATGCTTAAAGTTTAAAAAAAACAAACTTCCAAATACTTATTTACAACAGCTTAACAAACCAAGTAACCAAATAAGAAATGCCACCTTTTCAATATCCCATTTTTCAATTAGTGATGTAACTGAACCTCCCAGCAGTTGTATACTACCTTGTTCAAGCACTGCCAAACCACACTCAAGTCGGACGTCTTTTTTCAAATGAATTTTGGTCCCCGGAGTCGTCTTTGAACTACAAAATGTTTAGTCTTAAATTTATAATAAACAAGGTGTTAACAAAGAAATTACAGAAAAAAGGAGAACACTAAAATGTAAATAGAAAAAACAGCATAAAAAAGATAACAACTACTTCAAATCCTTATTTGGATAAAGCTGCACAGCAGAAATAGTTGAATGGCCGTCAGTTAAGTTTATTTTCAGCAAATCCTCTCTGGAGGCCAACCCACTCTGTTTGGGTCTTGATACATCACGTATTCTGCTAATTTGAAGAACTACATCCCCCTAATAAAGAAGAAACAATGATTTTCCACAGTTCCAAAGAATCGCTAATCCGAAAATAATTGAAGCAATTAGTAAATAAACTTTTTCATCAACAAATTAAAAGATATAAAAATTAAAAATGTGAACTGTAAGTGTCTTTTTAAGAAAATTAAAAACAGAGATGAAGATACGAACCCTAAAACTACGAGAAAAGCACGACAAGATATATTTTGAAAATAAATTTCCACTCAAAAAATATATCGAACTTTGAAAATACTTCAAAAAGATGCTTTTTCAGAACTGGCACAAAATTACCTTCACCACTTTATTCTCTTTGTCAATATGACTTGATAGGTTTGCAACAGAATAACTACGAAGGTCCGTCTGCAAGATTGAACAACTGACATCAAAAATACTCTATTACTTAGAGGAATTTATAGGAGTGCTACGCAAATAAAAGAGAAGAGTAAGTTCCAATAATGCGTTTAATAGCAATGTTGTAAAGAAAAAAACTGTTGTACCAACAGCCAAAAAAGATAATTCTGAAACGATAAGAATCAAGGAGTAAAAAAAAAAAA